ATAAGTCAATAATATAATAATAGGTCTGGCCGAATCAAGGGATTAACTTTTTTCCCTAATTCGAACCAGCCTTTCTCTCTTTTCTCTCTTCTCTCTTTTCTTCTCTCCTCTCCTACTTCTTGCTGTCTACTTTACTCTACAGTCAACGAACAAGACAGAATTCTATGGCAGGTCAAACTTCAACAATTTTTTCAGAGCCTCTTGCCAGACTCTTTTTTTGGTTTAATTGTATTCATGTTTTCTGGCAGACCTAGTTTTATTTTATTTCTTAATCAAGTTGGGATTCCTTCTCTAGGTAAATAAATATATGAGAACTTACTGAAAAGAGGGGAAATTAACAATGGATATGACACTGAACAGAATGGAATGACAATTGGCAAAACAAGATTCAATTAGCCATCTAGCTGACCCCATATAGTTTGGACAAGGCTTGGATGATGATGATGATGACTGAAAAGATGGGAAATGAGAGGATAAATCCAAGGAGACCAAGTGCATAAAGGAGGAAAAATCAAAGGTCTCAAAAAGTATCTTCCACATTAGAAAGAGGAGACAGAAAAAAGAAAAAGCCTATTGCCCCAGCAGAGGAAAACCACAGTATAATTTATTTTTGCTGGTGTACAATGTAAAGTTTGGCCAAGGTGACATGAAATGTATGATTACTGATAAAACATCACCATAGTTTTTTGCTTTATATTGTTCCCATAATTTGCTATTCTTTCAAATGATGGGCTTTAGAGTAATAAAACCGTTTTTTTGGTTGTTATTGATAAAAAAACTTATGAAACACTAGGAACATCAGGGAGCAATAAAGATATTCTTGTTCATTAACTATACATATAGAAGTTGACTTATTTTGAAATTTGTTGATTTTAAAACCATTGACTTTGCTATTTTCTTTTCATGATAGCTTTTGTTGAGTATATTAGGATTGCAATGGAATAATGAAGAGATGATATTGGCTTTGTCTGACCACAGATGGTTGTATTTATATTTTTCTGCAGTTCTCTTCTGAGAGCTGTCTTTAGATCTTTAGACTAGTCTATGCTGTGTGTCTGATGTTTAAGTGGAGATCTGTAGATTTGCATCAGTAGGTTTTGTGGTTAACATTACCTGTTTTCTGTACTTAGATTTTTTTGATCGGTAACTGTTAATTTTTATTAGATAGAAGAAAAAATGGTTTATATACAATCAAGCCATGCATCTCATTTTTAGGCTGTCATGTGCCGCCTAACCTATACTTTTTCTTGTTAGATTTCATTTTCTGTATATTCACTTTGCAGTCAACTGGATAACAATCACTTTGATGGGTCTGAGATTCCAACTTCTTATGTCAACATGTCAAATCTAGTCAAATTGTAAGTGCAATTTCTCAAAAGTGTGATCCTTTTCAGTGAAGTCTAGCAACTAGCAACTCTGGGTGTTTTACTTGGATATTTCAGTATATGGTGAACATGTAGAACCTTGGTCATGCTAGTAGAATTATTAGAGTGATCAGTTTTTTTTTTTTTAATTGGCAACAAAAAAAACATTAGTTTTATTAATATAAACAGAGAATACAGAGAATATACATCATTACAAAAAAAGATGAAGGCAATCAAGATTTCCCCCCTCTGCATAAATTACAATCTTACCCAAAATATTCAGTTCTTTTACTTCACAATTGATCCCAGAATAGTTGTCTCCTAGTTACCCTTGTTTAGCAAGAGAACCGGCCAAACCATTAGCTGATCTTGGAACCCATTGCATTGTTAGCTGCATGTTCTTGGAGATCCATTTGAACCTTTCCATCTCATTCCTATAAATCCATAGTGCACTGTTATCCTTCATCAACCAATTTTTCATAATTTTTGAGTCTCCTTCAATTACTAATCTTACGACCCCCAATTCCATTGCCTTGTGCACCCCAATTAGTAGTCTCACTGTAGTAATTGAGTCTCCTTCAATTACTATAGTGATCAAGGTTTGAAAGTTATATGTTCATTGATAGAATGGTTTGGGTATCCAATGCCTATACGACCTATACAAAATTAACAAATTTTCAAAAAAGTCATTTGTATAATTATAGAAAACCTGTCTGGTCTTATAAGTAATAAGTAAAAGGATTTATCAACGAAAGATGGGTTTATAGAAAGATTTGATATTTAATGATGATACCTCTATTATGATTTCTTGTATTTCAAAAGCACGAGGGGGGAGAGCTACTCTTGAAAAAAATGCAGGTGGAAGAATTAGAGAGGATGTGGGGGCAAATCTGTGAATAAGCTCATAGAGGATTATTTGGAGGAAAACACATCTGAGAATGGGAACCCAAAAAACTGTCCAAGCACCCAGGGAGTGGGAAATAACAGAAAGAAAAAGAAAAGAGCTGAGGTAGAGAGGCTGTCAGATATAGAATGGGACATTGAGTTTAGTGGTAGAAGGGGAAGAAGAAAGACTCCCAAGTAGGAACCTTTAACCTTAGTTGGGATCTAAAATTTTGTTTCCTATGAAAATCATCAGTTGGAATGCGAGGGGCTTAGGGAGTGCAAGGAAAAGGAGGTTAATTAAAGACCTGCTCAGAAGGAATAGGCCTGATATTGTGATGCTACAGGAGACCAAATTAGCCGAATTTGATAGAAGATGGGCCAGAAGTGTGTAGAAGTCAAGAGGAATAAGCTGAGCCTTTGCACCCTCTTGGGGGGCTTCAAGGGGTATCGTCACATTGTGGAGAGAGGATGTTGTAGAGGCAGAGGAGGAGTTAATAGGAAACTTTTTGGTGTCCGTAAAGTTCAAGTCTGTGAACGATGGTTTTGTTTGGGTGTTGACCAATGTGTATGGCCCTAATATCTATAGCAAGAGGAATGGATTTTGGGAAGAGTTATATAGAATCCAAGGGCTATGGGAGGGTCCTTGGTGTTTGGGTAGTGATTTTAATGTATTACGCTATGTTAATGAGACAAATAACCCCCAACAACTCATTACAACTAGTATGAGAAAATTTAATGATTTTATTAATTGTAGTGAGCTCAAGGAGCTTCCTCTTGTGTAGGGCCTTTTTACTTGGTCCAACTTCCAAGAAAGCCTAACTTACTCAAAGCTTGATAGATTTCTTTTTAACGGAAGTTGGGAAAATCATTGGAGAGACTTGCTATCCAAAGCTCTACCTAGAGTTACCTCTGACCCTTGTCCCATTAAGCTAGGACAAGAACCTTTTAGGAGTGGATCCAAACCCTTTAGATTTGAAAATATGTGGCTGACACACCTGGATTTTGTAAAAAAGATTGAGGAATGGTGGAATAAGATATGAGGGGGGTGATGTGGAAAGGGGTAAGGTTTCATAAGAAGTTGAAAAGCCTGAGGGTGAACTTAAGAGAATGGAATATGGACCTTTTTAGGAGGATAGAGGAACAGAAAATCCAATATGATGACCCAAATAGAGGACCTGGATGAGAAGGAATCTCAACTAGGGATGGCAATGGGGCAGGTTCGGGGAGGGCTTTGTAAATTCTAGACCTTGCCCGCCTCCTTAAACCTCCCAACCCGTACCCGCCCCAAAACTTGTTGCGGGTTGGATTTTGAGAATCCAAACCCTCCCTGCACATGAAAGTGCAAAACTGTCCCCAACCCTACCCTCCTCACATTCAAGGGTAGGGGCGGGTTGGGTTTAAAACTAAGTAAAGTAACACAAATAAACATCAAGATTTCTAATTATTTGATTAAGACATGTGAAAAACACATAAAGTAGCAATTATCCTTCACATAAAATTCAAAATATTATTAAATCCAACACCTAGTACATAAAATTTATATGCTTTCCAACAATATGCGGGTCAGGAGGGTTGGGTTTAGCCTTAAACCATACCCTACCTGTACTCGTATGGGTTATAGAATCTCAAAACCTGTACCCGCCCCAAAACCCGCCATTTAAGCAAAAAAACCTGCCCCGTCGGGGAGGGTAGGGTAGAAATTGACATCCCTAATCTCAACGAACCATGAATACTCAGGAAAGAGAATTAAGGTGGAGGTTGAAAAAGGAATTAGAGGAGGCTCTTTTGCGAGAAGAGATCTCTTGGAGGCAGAAATCTAGGCATAAATGGATGAAGGAAGGTGATGGGAATACCAATTTTTTCATGAGATGACCAATGGAGGAAGAAGGAAAAACTTGGTGACTAAACTTGAAGTGGATGGGGTGGAGTTGGACTCATGGTTTCAAATGTCGCGAAATTTCGCTAATGTCGCCCGACATATGTCGATGTTGAGGCTCACTGACATGAAAATGGATGGTAATATAAAAATTACATTATTTCGGTCGACATTTCCTTATATTTTGGAAATGTTGACCAAATCGGTCCAAATAACAAAAAAAATAGATAGTTTTTCCTATTATGTTGACTAATGTACATTAATAATATAATATATTAGTATATTATATTAATATAAATTATTCCATTAATAATTTCTATTTAATATTTCAAATAAAATATTTATAAAAAAKAATTAACAAAAAATAAAAACAAAAGAATAAATTAATTACTTTATAATATAAAACACAAAATATTTTTCAAGTAATAAAATATTAACTAGTTAGTATTTTTAAAATATTTATTAAAATCAGAAAATGTTTATTAAATTTTATAATAAATAATATTCTAAATTTAATATAAAAAATGAGAATAAATTTATTAAATCTTATACTAAATCATAATTTATTATAAATTTAGTATTAAAAATCATAATAAATTCATTAAGTTTTATAAGAAATCAGAATTTATCATAATCTTAATAGTTAATACTACAGAAAGGAGAATCAATTTATTAAATTTATAATAAAACATAATGTATTATAACTTTAATATTTAAAAAAAAGTCAGAATAAATGTATTTCTATTTACTAGTGTGAAATAAGTATATTAGAATTCATAATAAATCAGAATTAAAAATAAGAAAAGAAAATACCGGATAACCTTGTAAAAACATCAAAATGCATAATAAATCAGTAAATCATCATTTACTAATTTGTTATTGATCTTAGTTTCTTAGCTTTATATAATGGTTGGGAATAAGATAATAGTCTAGAAACCTTGGTTGGACTCTCAAGAGGAAATAGCCAATTGTTTTGTAGCGCACTTCAAATCTATCTTAGGGAAACCTAGTCGAGTGGAGTTGGCTGGTTTGGATTGGCCTACATTGTTTGAAGAGATTAAATTGTGGTTGTAAAGGAGTTGTAAGGAGGAGGAAATCCGACAAGCAGTTTTTCAATGGATAGATCTAAGGCACCAAGGCCAGATGGCTTTACTATGGCTTTCTTTCAAGACTGTTGGAACATAATTAAAAGGAGACTTGGTAGAAGTTTTCAAAGAGTTTGAGGAACAGTCTATCATTAGCAGTGGAGTAAATGCCACTTTCCTAGCCCTAGTCCTTAAAAAGAAAGAGGCCAAAAATCCCAAAGACTTTAGCCCAATCAGCTTGCTAAAAGCATCTATAAAATACTAGCAAAGGACTTCTCTTTGAGGATCAAAAAGGATCTTCCCCCCATCACAAGTCAAGCTCAAGGTGCTTTTGTTCATGGTAGACAAATAGTTGACCAAATTTTAATGGAAAATGAAAGTGTGGAATAGATGAGAAGATTGGGTAGGCAAGGTTTTGTTTGAAAATTGGATCTTGAAAAGGCCTATGATTTAGTGGATTCAAGTTTTTTGCAAAAGCTGCTCAGAAAGTGTGGTTTTGGGGATAGATGGTGCAAGTGGATAGGTGGTTGTCTGACGTCTTTTCATTACTCAGTTTTAGTAAATGGAGTGGTAAAGGACTTTTTCCCAGCATGTAGGGGCTTGAGACAAGGTGATCCATTGTTCCCTTTCCTTTTCACATTGGTTGTTGATATTTTTTGTAGACTTTTGTTAGAAGCAGACAGGGTTGGATTGATAAGAGGATGGAGATTAGGAAGAAATCAAGTTTCAGTTACCCACCTTTAGTTTGTAGATAGTATTATAATCTTTTGCGAGGGATGTGATTTGTTGAGGGCAAGGAATCTGAGAAATCTAATAGCCCTCTTTGAGAATGTCTCAAACCTGAAAATAAATCTTGAGAAGAGCTATGTGGTGGGAAGGGAGTTGGAGTCTATTGTTGCCTGCTTAGAATGCCCTATTTCTGCTTGGCCCTTGAGCTATCTAGGACTTCTCCTAGGTGCAAATCCATAGGAAAGTAGGTTTTGGAACCTAGTGGTAGAGAAGTTTGAAAAAAGGCTGGCGACTTGGAAAAAGAACTATATCTCTTTGGGGGGTAGAATAAATTTGATTAGTCCCACACTCGCAAACTTACCCATCTACTTTTTGTCTGTTTTTAGGATACCTGTCAGGGAAGGCAAGAAGATAGAAAA